TGGCTGGAATTCTTTTCATCCACACCAGTCATACAGCATTGCATTGTGTGAGTAGTGGGGCTTAGGCTCAGTTTGTGCAAGGAAGTATTTAGCACCCCTTGTGCAAGTAAGGCCCATGAATCATAACTGGCAGTCTCCAACTAAGTAAGCTGAAAAGCATATTCCAAAGGACTAGTGTTTTTCTCCACTCTGAATGATAGTTACTTTCTTGAAGGAATGGGAGATGTGAATCATAACTGGCAGTCTCCAGCTACGTAAGCTGAAAAGCATATTCCAAAGGACAAGTGATAGTTACTTTCTTGAAGGAATGGGAGAAATTTTTCCTTGCCCCTTTATCTCAGGTGTTGCTTGTATTAGGAGTAACAACTTGCCAGACATAATCTCAGCCCTTGTCGATAATCATGTGCCCGTGTAGTTGGGTCAGTGCTGGCAGGAAGATCATGGAGGCAGTTCTTTAATTTTTGAGCTTGGTGCCAGTGGTCCCATGTGGCAGAGCTCCCAACTTTACTTTTTTCATCTGACACCCAAAGGAATCACAGGAGACATGAAATAATTCATTTCTTTCAGCTTTGCTAAAGCAACATTTTGCATGTACTGTATTTTTGTCTGCATGTTTAGAGAGGCTTTCTTTCAGATATGGAAACCCTGACCCTAGATTGTCAGATCAAAAGTCACTAGGTGATGTTCTTGGGATGGGCCTTGTGAAAGGGGAAGGGCTTTTTTCAGCCTTTGTGAATCAAATTTGACGATAAGCTCAAAATTCCCCTCCATTCCCTCTGAGCTGTGTGGCTGCACAGCACTACCCGGGGTGGGGGCGGGGAAGGGGGGGTACAGCGGAGCCAGTGTTGCCATCCCTTTGGTTTTGGTCTTGATTGGAACCCCACCTGCTCAGAGCGGACCCTCTGCCCAGTGCTCCAAAATTTAGAGGGAACATGGTTCCCTTCCTCTGTCCTGTAACCACAGGACAGGTTTCATCCTGGTGTTGACATTGTCCTCTCCTAGAAACATGAGTGTCCAGCTTCCCCAGGCCTTTTTATCTCCAGAGAGGATCCCCTTTGTTCTACCCCATTAATTTCATTCCAGAACTTAATAAAACTTAGAACTAGGTCAACACTTCTACATTTTTAATTCGTCATGTTTCAGGTTCATTATCTCAGTACAATAGTTCTGACAGGAAAGCCAGTATTCTCAAAGGCTTTCACGGCCGGGATCTGATGGTTGTTGTGGCTTTTTCGGGCTCTTTGGCCATGTTCTGAAGGTGGTTCTTCCTAACGTTTCGCCAGTCTCTGTGGCCGGGATCTTCAGAGGACAGGAGTCAGAACGCAGAGCACAGACAGAGTTCCGGCTCCTGTCCTCTGAAGATGCCAGCCCCAGGGACTGGCGAAACGTTAGGAAGAACAACCTTCAGAACACGGCCAAAGAGCCCGAAAAAAACCACAACAACCAACTAAGCCAGTATTATTGTTCTACTTTTGCATGCAGAACACTGTGACTGAACTATACAGGGTTGTTTGTGGCCCCATTGTGAGTTAATGGCTGAAATGCAAGTTCCAAACTCCCTGGCTCACAGTCACCAGTTGTAAAAACCTTGCTCATATGTATTGCTGCATGCATCTGACTCAAAGCACAAGAGGTGGTGTGGAATTTGGACTCCTATATACCTTGACTTTTGCTGATAGTTTTAGTATCTCAGATATATTCTAGAGACTATCCATTTTCAGAGGGCTAATGTGTGTGAACAGTTTGGATTTTTAATTTCTTCTTTCATTACACAGTATACCAAAATCCTATTCAGGCGTTATAAAAGACTGTTTCTTTAACCTGCTTAGAAAAGCAGCAGCTCGCCCCACCCACCCCACCATCTTTAGGTAAGCAGTGAAGGGTCTGGAGAGGAGACATTCCTGCTTGCAGGTAGGCTCTTGTGAGCAAGAACTCGTGTCCTTATTTATGTGTAAAGGCTGCCTTCAACCAGGAATTTCCCATCTTCAAACTTGTCATTGTTCATGTGAAAGAAAAAGCAATGAGGGAAAATCAGGGCCAGCCATTCCCATTTAACCATGTTAAAGAAACTGAATAGATATAATAGCAATAATCTTAGAACAGCAAAGCTGGAAGAGACCCAATAGATCATTGAGTCCAACCTTTGTTGAGTGGGGAATCGAACTCCCAACTTCTGGTTCTGCAGCCAGAAACCTAAACCACTGAGCTAGCCAGCAGAGCTGTGGCCTTTCTTACATACTTTTGATAGTTGCGCACAGTCCTTGAATTTCGTTGCTAATGACGTTCCTATCACACCGTGTAATTTGTTGAGCTCTGCAGGAACTGTACATGCATTAAAGGGCAGGCGATGGTCGCATCTTCCTAAACTGCTGTTGTTGCTCAGAGTAAGACTGGATCACATTTGGCTAGATTAATAGGCTTTGCCAGATATTATGGCTATTTGGCTGGGTATTGTTCCCTTGAAGGATTCCTATATATGTATGTATGTTTCAGTGTATGCACCTCTTTATACCTCATTCCCAGGCAGTCAGAGGAATATGTATGAGTAATTTGTTTACATTGTTTTCAGCAGAGTAAACATTGTGAGACCTTGATGTGATCTTTTTGCATTGGGGCAGAGGGCAATGAAGTTTCTGTAAAAACTCAAGTAGAGCAAAACATAGGGAGAGTGAAGCAACTACCTCAGGCATAAGAGGCCAAGGGACAGCAGTAGCAGCCCCTTATTCATTGCCCCTGAGCCCCCTAGCCATTCTTAGTTCCTGGAGGTCAGAACTGTCTGTGTGACATACCTTGTCTTGCACCCTTAAACAAGCTTCTTCCTTTTAGTTGGAGCCAGACAGTCCACTAAGATTAGGATGTTATTCTGGATCTACATTCCATATACATGGATGGAGGATGATTTGATATTTCCCTTGGGCAGCAAAGTGTCTTGGATCACTCCTCCAAAGTGACCACTTTTAACACTTGCTACCAGCTTGACAAGAGGAAGGCTTTTTTTATATACATAAGGCAAAGCTCTGAAGTGGCTTTTGATACCTAAGTGGTATATTCAGTTCTGGCCCATCGCTCTGCCTCTGAGGTGCTCAACTGTTAAGGGACTTCATGTTTGTCCAGGGACTTAGTTATATTAATCTGCTGCAGCAAAAACAACCAAGACTCTTAAAAATGAACAACTTTTACTTAAAATATATATGCCAGACTTTTAAGACTTCAGGATGCCGGAAGATATTTGATTGTTTCTGTTGTCAGGATATGTACGGTGTAGGTAGCCATCTACCCTTCCACAGACAGAGAGGCACATGCAACAAAGGTTGCTGGCAACCCTAGCTTATACTTGTGAGTGAAACGTCTGATAATGCCCAGGGAACCCCTTGGCCCGTTGGCTGTTTGCAGATGCTACTATGGAGAGTGGATTAAGTTGGCCTCTTACTTTCATTCTTTCTCTTATTTTGTAGATTGCTCACTGCTAGCCTGGTATCTATTTTCCCTTGTTATTCCTGCCCAAATTTATTCACTAGTCAAGAAGGGTGGAGACTGAGCTGATCACAAGATAGAGTCACTGGGGATGAGGAATATCAGCTTGGTTCTTACTGTGCCATGAGTAGCATTCTGGCAGGTACAGGATGAGCTCACTGAATGGGGCACCATGAAAAGAGCGCTTTGCCTTCGTTCTGCTATCCAGCCTGTGAATTCCGCCTCTGAAGAACCTTCTGTAATAGATTTGGAGTCCTCCAGATTTTTGAGCTTTCATCTGTCCTACCTGGCATGACCAGTGGCACTAGGCTGTTTTAGTGGAAGTCTAAAACGGTTGGAAAGCAAAAATTCACCAGCTTTGTAGGTTAAATAGAGATGACACTGTTTGGTGGGATAGCCCAGGAAGAACCCAATATATTTTGATCTCTGTTCTTGTGTGGTAGTAAAATATCAAAATACACTGAGTGAGTGTCAGTTTGCCATGTGGTGGTCTCTGTGGGATACAAGAACAATAGGCTTTTATGTTCTTCTCCCTAGGTATGCTTAAGATAGGAACTCTCTCTGCAGCAGTTATTAAGAATTCTAAAGGATGAACTCATCTATTTCTGTGCCCAGTTAGATGCCCCTGCATGATAACAAACAGGGTGTTACAGATGTAGTCATTCCCCACTGTTTGTCCCCAGCATCAGGCTTCCAGATGTGTAGGTACTAATCCTATGTGCCAGTCTTTGTCAACTGGTTGTTGCTTCCCTTCAATATCTCACAAATGTAGTTGGTTATGTGCCTACCTGCCTTGTCCATCTGTCTCTCTCTGTGTGTGTGTGTCTGTCTGTCTGTCTCATTATTTGAGGAGATTCTATGCAGTGCCAGAGGATGAGTAGGCAGATAACAGCATAAAGAGAGGGTTGGAATATACCTTGCTGCTTAACTGTAGTACCGGTCACAACTCAAAGCTGCTGAAGGTAGCTGGAGTCTTCGAACTAGTGAGGAAGGGAAAACATTATATATATTCGCAAAAGGAAAACAGTTTACTCTCAGCAATTGGTTCCCAACCTTGGTAACCAAGTGTTCTTGGACTGCAGTTCCCAGAAGCCTTCACCACCAGCTGTGCTGGCCAGGATTTCTGGGAATTGCAGTACAAAAACCACTGGGTTATCTAAGGCTGGGAACCATTATCCAGCTGTTTTGTGCGCAAGAGTATCTGTTATCCTTAGCAAAATTACATGAACTGTTAACTGTGGACCATGCAAGCACACGGCTTCTGAGTGTCTCACAGTGCCCAGCTATGGTGTCTGAGGTCATGACACCCGAAACTAGCCATCTTCTGACCTTAGACACAGTGGCTTTAGGTGTGTCATATGAGGAGAGCTTACTATCTCAGATTAAAGATATATTTTTGGAATCCTTCCTCTTCCTGGCATCTGGTCCTAACCCTAATGGAAGTAACAGTCTTCCGACTGCTCCAGAATCAAAGCTACGGATGTTGTCAATCTTGACGTTCTTTTTTGTTGTTGTTCTTCCCCTAGAAAAAGCTACTGATGGTTCCCTGCAGAATGAAGACTGGGCCCTCAATATGGAGATTTGTGACATCATTAATGAGACAGAGGAAGGGTAAGAAAGGCAGTGTGGCTAAATCGTGTGTGACAGTATCCCTCTCGCTGGGCATCCTCACCAATTTAGTTTTCTCATCCTACACTAGTATGCATTATTTTTCTGGCGCATTAAACAGACACACCCTGTTCAGGAAAATTTATCTGTGTAGGTGGAGGCAATGTTCATTATTAAACTTAAAAGCCCAAGGCTGAGTCCCTTGACATTATAGAAGAGAATATTGTTGGACTGGTGTGCTACTTGAAAACCGTTTCTGTACCACAGCTGCCAAAGACACCATTAGCCATCATTAGCAGGGTGGGGAAGCAGTTTACAAGCAGTCTCAACCTCCTTCCCTGACACTTTCAGTAATTTAAGATGTTCTTTTTCCTTTCTCACAACACGCAGATTACCCTGCTGCATTTGTTCTTTGTAGCCCTCTCTTTTTCTCTCTCCATTTCCTTCTCTGTGGTTTCTCTACATTGCTCTGTGGGGTGTTCTTCCACTTCAGACTGAAAAATCTTCAATCTGGAAAATCTCAGCTAAAAATTCATTGTTCTGATTTTACTCAAGTTAGGTAGACGTTCTGGTCTAAAAAAAACAAACAAACACTGAGATTCAACAGTCTCCCTTCTGTAATATTGGAAAGCTGCTATCACATCATCCCTTATGAGGATCGGCTGTATGCCTGTGGTGATGAAGTAGCTGAGTCTTTGTCACATGTCTTGTTTGAATGTAGCCTTGACAGAAATTAGTGTAACAGACTTCTCTGTCCTCTTAAGAGAAAATGCCCTGGAAAGCCCTTCATATGGCATTTAGAGTATTTGCTGGCAGTTATAAACCAAACAGTTACAGTGTCTGTAGCTGAGTTCCTGTTTTCTGTTATAAGGTCTCATTAAAAGGCCTTATTAATCTAACTACTTTTTCTAAATATGTGCATGTTTTAATAATTTTTTTTAAATCTTAGTCTTATTGTTATATTGTTTTAACTTGGGGCTGACCACATAATAGAGAATGAAAATGAAAATTTCAAATATAATAAAATCTGAGCCTATGATCAAAAAAGAAGTGTGGACTTTCTAGTACATTTCCAGATTGTTATCTGTTTTTCCCCCTTGCTGCCAAAATACACTGTAGACAAAGCTAAAACACTAGAAATCTGAGGAATGACTAACCATCAGTGCTGCACCCTGTAACTAACATCTGGTAGGCTAGCTGGAGTTCACATTAAGGACAGGAAGAGCATATAATAATAATTGAACAGAAAGCAGTGGTCATGTGGGCTGCTTCTGTCTCTCCATACACAAACCAAACGATGCTTTCTTTCTTGCAAACTTCCAAGCCACGTCATCTGTTTCTGGTGATAATGCCTCATCCCTGCCTTGTAGCTCCCTGTCTTTGTCACAGAGCCACACATCCCTGTCCCAACATGTGCGCAGTCTTGCCCTGCATCACATTCTGCCCCCAGTTTTCTGTTGTCAGCCACAGCTATTGCCCATCTGGTCTTTTCAGTTAGAATATTTTACTATATGAGATATGCTGATTTCTATCCTAGTTTACTATTAGACTCATTTGACTTGGTGTGCCCGGGTCTAGTGTTTGTTGCCGAGATCCAATTGGAAGGAGCCTTAACAGCCAGGAAAGCTTGCTTTTGGTCCATACTCAGTGATCTAGTGATCTCACACACACTGAAAACAGACCAAAACAGTGTGATCCTACCTCCACTAAAAAAGTAGAAGCCCCTGACAGGAGTTCAGAAAAGTATGGGTAGGATTGCTGGGGGATGGTTCAGTTCACTCCAAGGATTGGTTTTCCAGTGATCACACAACATGATCACTGGAAAAGAGTGAACCAACTCTTCCCTACAGGGGACTAAACAGTGGGATAAATGCCTGTCTGATCAAGCCTAAATTATTCACTGAGTTGGCTTGACAGTTGTGTGACACCAGGTGGCTGAAGAATAAAGCTAACTGAATCAAATTGTTTGGAAAATTCCAGCACTAGTGATTCTCTATGTTTGTGCTTCTCTGTTCTTGCTTACTCCTCTCCTCAGGCCCAAAGATGCCATCCGAGCCGTAAAAAAGAGGATTGTGGGGAATAAGAACTTCCATGAAGTGATGCTGGCTTTGACAGTGAGTATGATGTCATTTTTCACAATAACATAAAGCCTTTATTTCTCCAATCTCTGATATGTCGCCTTCTGCCTTTGGTTTTTTTAAATCTTTATTGGCTTAGTGAAGAGAGGGATATAAAAAACACTGTGTCATTAAAACAGAATTGTAGTAACATCACAAGTTCTGTAAAGATCACACACATTCTCTAGACCAATAGTCCCCAGATGTTCTTGAACTGCAGCTCCCAGAAGCCTTCATGATTAGCTGTGGTGGCCAGGATTTCTGGGAGTTGTGCTCCAAGAACATTCAGGGACCCAAGGTTGGTAACCATTGCTCTAAGCTGTCTGTTTTGGGAATATTTCTGAAAAAGAGGTGGGATCATTGACCTGGAATGCTAAGCCTCGGATTAAGTAGTGGAAGGTAGCAAATTGTACGCTAAATACATCATGAATGTTGTGTTGATTTAAAAGCAAACAGAAATACACTGGACAGCAGAACAACAATTTGGTTGACCAGATTTGGCAGTCAGATATATTTTTCCTGACATTTGCCCCGTAGGCATTTGCTGTAGAAATACCAATATTTCCAGTTGGGTTAGATGCGTGTGTTTTCAAATTGCATGTCTTTTTTCCGTGATCAGGAAGGAACAGAGCAAGCCATTAGAGGACCCAAAGCATTGATGTCTTGTTTGCTCTTCAGGTTCTTGAAACATGTGTCAAAAATTGTGGCCACCGCTTCCACGTTCTAGTTGCTAGCCAGGATTTTGTAGAAGGTGTACTGGTGCGAACCATCCTTCCTAAAAACAACCCCCCAACCATTGTCCATGACAAGGTGCTAACCCTCATACAGGTGAGTGGAGTGAGTTGCATAAAGAAGCACATTTGTGGCAAATTTGTTATCTTTCTTCATTGGAAAAAAAAGCTATACAACTGATCAGAAGGGAGCAGGGAAATTCAAGTTTAACTCAAGTGTCATTTTTTATATTAAATGCTCTACCAAAGTGCCTGTCCCTCAGAGGGCTTCCAGCATAGTTTCTAGCAATGAGAACAGAACATTAAATTCTGACTCCATGTGTATCTGTGCTACGTCTAAATGCGAACTTATTTCAGGGCTGTGGACACTCCAGACTAAAATATTTTAGGAAAAAATTAAACTTCCTGGAATCCACATATTCCAAGGGAACTCAGTTCTGCAACCTTTATTATTTTATAGTCTACATTATTCAGATTGGTTCAGTTACTTAATATAAAGTTTCTTATTTTCATCCGTGTGTTCTGTCATGTTTTCTATTTTATATAATTTACTTAGGCGTTGTTAATGACGGAAAATGGCAAGAAGTTAGGCAGAGTACTGAAGCCCAGTTTTCAGTTAAAACATTCAGCTTTCTTTTGGGCTCTTGAAATTTCAAATTGGTATAATTAACAAAGTTAAAGTATATTTTTGCAGCCATAAGGGGTAGATTTTTTGGGGGAAAAAACAGGAAGCTGATTTTTTTTTTATTTTTTTTTTTTGCTTCTAGTATTACAGTTTGCTCTGTGCTGTTAAGTAATCATGGCAAACACACATGTTTGTTTTTTTCCCCCAATGAGCATTATAAAGCATATGTATTACAATATTTTGAGGTAGCACCTTTCTTCCTCTCTTTCCAGTCCTGGGCAGATGCATTCCGTAGCACACCAGACTTGACTGGAGTTGTGGCTGTTTACGAGGACTTGAGGAGGAAAGGCCTGGAGTTTCCCATGACTGATCTGGACATGCTCTCGCCCATTCATACACCACAGAGGGTAAGGGTAATGACGCTCATTCTTTGCAGAAGGGCCGTTGAACAGATGCAGTGAGAAAGGGGAAGAGCTGCTGGACATATGAGCAGGTTGACAGAGACAAGATCTAGTTGGGACTCCAGATTATGTGATCAAGATAAAATGTTAAAAATATATGTCTTTCACATATTTTCTGCTACGTAGATAACATAGTGGTTTAGGTATCCATCTGCGGTGCCAGAAGACTACGAGTTTTATTCTCCAATGTGCCTATTGATAGGAGCGGAACTCAATGATCCATAGAGTCCCTTCCAGCTTGCAGTTTGATGTTGATGATTAATATTATTCAGCAAAGATCTATAAATTGCTGTTCCATTCAAAGGCAGTATAAATCTTTCTCTCTAGTGTTTGATAAAATCTATCATGATTTTGATTCCTAGAAGGATTTACAAGTGTCTTGAATGTATGACACTATGTAGTTAAAATAATGTTATCAGTTAATATATATTTTAGTACTAACAAGAAAGAAATAAGACCGTGCAGAGAGGTTTATTAGCCTTAGCATGGAAGCATAAAGGGCTTGAGTAAGGAAATCAGTATTAATCTTAGAATGATGGAGTTGGAAGGGGCCTATAAAGCCATCAAGTCCAATCCCATGTCCAAAATAGACTCCTGTTTCATTTGGGATGGAAAAGATGAACCTTGGAGTCAGTACGAGCTCAACAATTCTATGATTGTATGATTTGGCCATATTGAAAGATTTGTTATAAAGCATTAAGAAAGATGAGAATAACTATAGCCTGTGTGTCCAAAGGCTATAGTTATTCAAAAAGCAAAAAGCAACATGTATAAGCATCAAAGGATAAGAGAGAGAATCTATGTACATAGAGCAGTTCTGAATGGATTATTTAACTGATTTCCTTCATATTTTGCCTCTATTATTGAACCACTTGTCTTTATTCTGGGAATTCCTATTTAGAGTGTGTATACTCCAGACCCCACACCTGGAGTGAATTCTCCAGCAACAGACTCCCCTCAAGCCATAGAGTCTATCCTGCACCCTGTGTCCCTACCGGCAGCTCCAGGGGCCTGCAGTGATGCCCCAATCACGCCAACATCAGAGCAGGTGAGAGTACCACGAGTCTTAACAATGAAGCTGTAGTATTCATTGCCTGATGTTCTCTTTAAGAGAGAGTATAGCAATCTGAATATTTGAATGTTCAGTCAGGCACATTTTATATCAAAATTTGTAAATAAAATCAACACTAAAAATACATTTAAAAGCAGCAGATTACAATGATGTGTCTGGGAAAACTATAACAGGCCTCTCATTTGCCAGACTAATGGGGGAGGTTTGCTCTGCTTCTTGACCAGTGGGTGCTCTCACCTTCTGCCTCCTCAGCATCATAGAGCTGCAGTGGGGTAAAGTGAAGCACCATGCCCTGCTAAGCCTCTGTGCCCTGGTCTCTGACCACCCATCAGTACAAAAGCCCACACACCTCTACCGGCTAAACAGCTCAGAGCTACAGAGAGAAGGCAAATGCAAGTCAAATCTGCTTTGCTTCTGCACTAAGTGGACATTCTCATCTCTGAATGTTCGTCATGGGCAGAGGCCGGTCTTCATGTCTCCATAACCCCTTAGCTGCCCAGAGCTGGTAACAGACCTCCTTGCCTGCTAGATGCTCTGATCTCAGGACACCCTGTAGCCAGGCAAGGTGTTCCTCACCTTTTCTCAGAGCCCAGATCTGAAGATGGGGGAGCGGTAGAATGTTGTTTTGCCTATGCTTCCACCCGGCAACCCCGGAGCCAAATCAAATCCCAGGCTTCAGCAAATGTTTTGGGCTTCTGAGGGACACAGATTCATCCCCTCTTCCCCTGTAGCTCTTCTGTTAGGAAGAAGTCCTTGGTTGACTCATTCACCAGAGCTTGGCTCCCCCTCACTGGTGAAGGAAGAGATAAAATTTCTATCCTTGATGTTAAGGGAGGTCAGTATTAACCCTTTGTTCCAGGTGTAGGCCAGAGGTAAAAATAAAGTGCCTTGTCTAAGACATTTTTCTATGTGAAAAAAACAAACCAGAAATGGCTGAAGATCATTGCTGGCTTCATGAAAAATATTATTCTAGAGTGCAGTAACACAATCCTCCCCCCCCTCTGAAAAAGATGAGGTGGAAGGGAGACTTTGAGCAGCCTATACAATTGGATAGCTGCACACATGGCCTGTGGGCCACAAGTTGCCAACTCGTGGGGGGGGGCGACACTTGCCAATTTAGCCATGTTGGCTAAACTTGTCTCAGTCCATTTTGTGTGTTGTTCCCCATAGGCAGTCATCCGTCCATGCGATTACAGGTCATACTTGGTAGAAAAGTGGAGGGATGTAGCAAGAAGCTTAAGCCACAGGAGTAGGAAGCAGGGCATATTTCAAGTTACGTGGCTATTTGAGAACTCTATGAGAATTGTAAAAAGGAGTCAAAGAAATCCAATTTTCAAATGTTTGTGAGGAAGAAGACTTCCTTTTATATGTCTCAGGTTTTGTGTTGTCCCTCTTCCAGTTAAAGAATCGCAGATCACAAAGGAGGGAAAGTCATCTGACTGAAATCCTGGAAAGACCAAAGTACATTGAGCTAGGTCCAGCTGGGGCTGCACAATATGCAAGGCTACTTCAAGTGACTTTTTTCTCTAATGACAAAAGGCCTGGCTAGATTTAATGGCTTTATGTGCATGCATGTGCTTTCAGATTGGGAAACTACGCAGTGAACTAGAAGTGGTGAATGGAAATGTGAAAGTGATGTCTGAGATGTTAACAGAGCTAGTGCCGGGACAAGCTGACCCCTCTGATCTTGAGTTGCTCCAGGTAAGAAGTAGCTGGAACAGGCATCTGCCTATATTGCTGTGAGCAGGGATTTAATTTGGATCAACACAGTCGCTGCTGAGGTGGGCTTAGCTTTAGCCAAGAAACAAAACCCATTGTATCGATAACCAAGAACAGCAGGAATGGACTTTTAACCCAAGCTGCTTACTAGCTTTCACTTCTTGGCTTAGTTTCCTTGGTTCAGTTCTCACAGTCTATGTTCTCTTGCTACGGATAGGAACTGAACCGGACGTGTAAAGCGATGCAGCAGCGTGTGCTGGAGCTGATCCCCCGTATTCTCAATGAACAGCTAACAGAGGAGCTGCTCATTGTCAATGACAACCTCAACAACATTTTCCTGCGCCATGAACGGTATTCCTCAGTCCCTTTTCCTTGTCCTGCTCTGTCCCCTTCTCTCTCAGAAGCAGAGTGGTTCAAGCCTTTCCACTGACACTTATCTTCCTTTTTCTCCATAGGTTTGAACGGCTTCGATCTGGACAGCCTCCTAAGGTGATTCAGCTTCCCATTCTTTTAAAGCAGGCAAACAACATTTTATTATCAGCAATTGTCAGGAAAATAAGGTCAGCTTGATAGCTGTTGTAGGGCTTGTGTGGACCTTAAGGTACAGTCCTCAGAATTAAATATTTGAAATTGTGTTTGGAGATGCTGATTCCATGGCACCCAAAAAGGGTTTCAAGATGACTATATTCTAGTCAGATCCCTCCCTGATGGGTGTAATATAGCCATACTCGAGGGATCTATAACTCTGAAAGCATTTCAGCACCTGACAGGTACAATTGTATTCATGATTATGTGCCACCTGCCACAGTTTTGTTGTCTCAGCCAGAGGGAGACTTAAAGGAGTCTTCTGTACAGCCAATTCCCACTGATTTCAGCAGAAGAGATGCAGGGAGGTATCTTTGTTTTTAAACTGATTCAGAAGGCACTTGGACCAATTAACGGTGAACACTAAAAGTGAATAAAATGAATGATACAGTATTTGCTTGCATAGTTTACTTATGTATTTGTACTAAGCATTTCACAGGCTAATGAGTGATGGATAGGGTTCTACATATCCCCAAATATTCAAAACACATAAGCACTTAGATAGCCTCCTGTTTGAGCAGAAATGTAGTGGTATTCGAGAGTAATGCAAGAACAGCAAGTGGACTTTCTGTCTTTTTAAAGGAACAAAATAATACAGAAAATGCTGGCAATTTGATTGATGTGGAACCTAGCACTACACCAGCGACCAGAGAGACAGAACCCAACAACACGCTGTCATCGCAGCTTGCAGGAATGAGTAAGTAACTTAGCCTTATGCTATGCAATCTCATACCGTGTCAGCCTCCCTCTCCCCCTCCATCATGCTATGATTCTGGCCTTCAGACTACCTCTCTTCATTCTCTGTACATTATTCTCTTTGTATTTCTTTGCTTTAAAAAACAGCATAATTCTTTCAATACAGAATTAGACCAGAGCTAGGACATTTATGCTGATGACTGAATATTCATTGATGCTTTTAAATTGTGGTGTTGGAGGAGACCCTTGAGAGTCCCCTGGACTGCAAGCAGATCAAACCTATCAGTTCTGAAGGAAATCAACCCTGAGCGCTCACTAGACGGACAGATCCTGAAGCTGAGGCTCCAGTACTTTGGCCATTTTATGAGAAGAGAAGCCTCCCTGGAAAAGCCCTTGATGTTGGAAAAGTGTGAAGGCAAGAGGAGAAGGGGACGACCAAGGATGAGATGTTTGGACAGTGTCACCGAAGCTACCGACATGAATTTGACCAAACTCTGGGAGGCAGTGGAAGACAGGAGGGCCTGGCAGACATGACTTAACGACTAAACAATAACAAAGCACATTTATGCTGTTTGATTGAATATTCATAACTTTGGAAAGCAAAATCCTGTCTTTTTGGCAGGATCCATAAATGCTACTTCATATTATTATTCGTAACTCTGACAAGATAGAAAGAGTTGAGTTCTGTTGTTATCAAACTTCCAGAATCTAATATCAACATAAAGTGTTGGATGTTAACTGCTTATCTTGTCTCTTACACCTTGCAGGTCTGGGTGCTGATAGTGTCAGTGCGGGTCTGCAGTCCCTCAACAATTCAGGAAAGCTGGAAGAAGAGTTTGACATGTTTGCACTGACCCGTGGCAGCTCCTTAGCAGAGCAACGGAAAGAGTAAGAGGCAAAATTGTCTGTAATGAATTAAGGATGATTGTGAACCTTCCAGAATGCAGTTTTCAAAACAAGTGCAATCATGCAAATTTCTTTATGTTAAAGAAGCTTAAGGTTTGGTCAGTACAAAATTTGGTTTATATTCACTGCATTGATGCATTTTTTTAAAGTGCATAGTTTCTCCTTGATGTATTGTTCATATACCAAAGCAAGTTGCTGAGCCTTAAAGTTTGACGTGCCACAGGTACAGAAAAAGGGAGGGGCCATGGAACTCAAGTCCATGGTATATCTAGGATTGTAGTTGCTGTTGTTCAGTGCTGTCAAGTCTCTTCTGACTTACAATAACTGGGTTTCCAAAGGACATGAGATCTTCAGGGAGGTGTTTACCATTGCTACGTTCCAGAGAGTTTCCATGACAGAGTGGTGATTTTTATCCATTTCTCCCGAGTCCTAATCTAACACTCTGTCCAGTATATTACATTGAGTTTGTATACAGTATGAAGGATACAGTTGACTAAGAGAGTTGCGTTGACTCAAGCAGCAAACTTGCAAGTAAAGTAGAACCTCCATTAGATGTAGGTGGGGAAGGTTCAGCCCGCCACATGTTACTAGACTATAACACCTAGGGTTCCCCACCCTCGGTTATGTTGGCTAGGGCTGAGGGGAGTTCCCATCCAGTAATATTTGGATGATTGTCCTTTCTCCTTCCTCTGCCCTGGGGCCTTGGGTGCCAGCCCAGGGCACCTAGGTCATGAATGGTTTTCATGCCAAGTGTACCAAGGTTCCTCCCGCTTGTCTCTAGTTTGTCCTGGCAAGACAAAGCACACATATATGTCATTGCTCTTCCATTGCTTTCCATTTACTTGTTGTACAGGAGGCAATGTCACAGGAGCTGCTTAGCCTGGTCGATGCCCGCTTTTGATTTCCTAGTTTGAATTCTCCTTGGTGATGGAATTCCAGGTCTTGGCTCTAATTGCAAACCTCTGCTCTGATTTTTAGAAAAGAAGAGGTTGTTGGTGACGGTCTCGTCCCCCTTTCCACCCACACAGACATAGAACAGTGATTTGAAACGTCTTTATTGCATATTTTATCTTCCATTCCTTTTTCTTCCTTAGCCTGTTCTTATTCTCTAATATTCTCAAGGAATGGTGGCTGCAAGGAAATGGACAATTTATTTTTTAATAGCATGGTGCAAATGGAGAGCAGAATGGTTTTTAGCATTCCACAGAATACTGGGAAGTCCCGGAGAATAACCTCCAGACAAGGCAAATGCTTCAATTCGTCTTGGGCTGTTTCTTACAGGCTGTGCTTTTGAACAAAAGCTTGCCTAATACTGCAGCTAGATTATGTCACAGTGCTTTTTCCAATGCAGTGGAAAATGGGATTCTCAGAATTTTTGTTGTGTGTTCTTCTCTTTCCATTTGCAAGCTGATCTCATGTGCGCAAGAAACCATCATGTCTGTTTGGGTCTTACTATTTATTTTTGGCTGGGGAGTGATCTTCCCACAAGGAGGGAGTTTGCTTTCCCTTGTACCGTGCAGTGTTGTTTACAACTTAGGTCATATGCCTTCTTTGTCCTTACTGTCCCAGTTACGGTAATTCTAGATTGTGTGAGAGCTGGTAAATTAAGCTGAGAGCATGAGCTGCTAGCCGGTGGGCCAAAGGTCCTTAGGAAACATAGCAGCTGAACTTTGGGGCAATTTCAAGAGCTAGAAAACAGCCCAAACGATCCCTCCCCCCACATGTCTAATTTATTTTGCTTCCACCATCTGTGTTTCCTGGCAGTAACCAAGTGATTTATGGGATAGTAAGAATTGTAATGTATTCCTTCAATGGTTCTTCGTCTTCCCCTTTTATACTCACAATAAACCTGTGAGGCAGGTCAGGTGAGAAATTACCTCAGGCTACTCAGTGAATTTCCTGGTTCTTTGTGGGACATGAATTTAGGTTCTGTAGTCTACCATTTGGACCCCCCGTACAGTGTACTATGACTACACTCGTAGTTTCCTAGCTCAGTTTTTTCTGGGTAAGGCTCAGTACTTATCAGCACCCCCTTGTACACCACCACATTTTGTAATGCCTTTATGTTTTCATTTATTATATTTGCATCTTTGGCTTTTGTATTTTGTCTAAACCAGCCAGAGTAGTCATGTTCTAGATGGGTGGTATATAAGTCTAATAAAATAAAATAAAATATTAGCAAAACTGTTGACGATGGCAGCTGCAGTGGTGCCCCGCATAGCGACGTTAATCCATTCCAGGAAAAACGTCACTATCCAGAAACATCGCTATACGGAAATAAAAACCCCATAGGAACGCATTAAACTCTGTTTAATGCGTTCCTATGGGGGATAAACTCATCGCTAAGTGGGAATCCTCCATAGGGCCGCCATTTTCGCTGCCTCGGTAAGCGAGAAATCAGCGCAAAAACGCTGCGGGCGGCCATTATGTTGATTCGACAGCCATTTTGGAACCGCCAATCAGCTGTTTCTAAAACATCACAATGCGAAGATCGGTAAGCAAAACGCATACCGATCATCACAATGCGATGTTTTGCCTATTCAAAACATCGCAATGCGATTGCAAAAGCAATCGCAAAATCCACATCGCTATGCGGATTCGTCGTTAAACGGTGTGCTCATTATGCGAGGCACCACTGTACATTTTCTCCATCAGAAGTCCCTGTATTTGCTAGTATTATTATCATTATTTCAAGTGTGGCTGGTGGGGGAGGGGGCTGTTACGTTTTCTTAGTAACCTCTTCTCATGATGATATAATATTATGTAGAGATTCCTCCAAAACAACATAGTGGTTACTGGCTACCAAAAGAAGGACTGCTGCTGCTGCTGCTTGAGGCAGAATGTTTTTCATCCACCATCATTTAGCACCTACCTACCCCCTGAAAAACTGGCAGAATCTAACACACACCTGCAAAGAGGAGAGGAAGAGTGGGAGATAATCTGCAATGTGAGGGTGAGAATGGCTGACCTACATGGTTGATGGATTACCGTGGAAAATAACAGAATCACTTTGCCTGCTTGAAAAGCATTAAATAAATGTTAAGAACTGTGAGTCGGTAAAGGATTTTGCCTTGAAATTGTACTTTCCTCGTTCTTTGGTCTTCACCAGCTCTCTGGCAGCACTCTGAGTGACAGCTACGGATGCTAGAAACAGATGCTTGCTATGGGTACATTGGGTTACCCCTGAATGCAAAATGCTCGTACACATATACACACACGCTCAAGTGCTTAGCAAGCTAGGCAAGGTGCCAGACTGCTTTGAGATGTCACTGGCACGGTTCTGAGTGCGGCTGGAAGTCTTGAAAAGCCCAACGCAGAGTCTGACATCTCAGAGAGCTGCCTGGTTCGCCGTCAGAAAGGAGCACTCCGGACACAAGAGTCCAGATGCTGGATGCGCATACCAGACGGCAGGAAAGGTGCTCCGCTGAGGGGAGAGTATGGAGTAGAGCAGTTTTTTATGGAAACAAGACAGAAAAGCTGGAGATCCATCTTATTTTGAAATCCAACCTCTGGACCTACATTCCCGCTCGTCTCCTTTCACCCTGGATAGCTGCAGAGAAACTGGGCAGCATATTTTCTCCAGCAGAGCCTGATCCTTCGGGAACCAAGTCAGGTGAGATGTGAGCCACCGTCTATTTATTCCTTGTTCTCTCACTGGACACAGCTGCTTCAATCCTCTTGCAAACAAGCCAGCTTGGGACTGTGACAGTCTGCTCTGCAGCTCCCTAGGCATTCTTGTCCCTCCTCATTCCTTGGGACAGTTCACTGTTGGATCGAGACACTGTTTGATGGACATGTGGTCTTCCCGGAGCTCTATGAACACCTGTATGCAGAATCTGTGGCAACAGCTGAAGCCCTTCCTGCCCTTCTGCCTCGTCAGCGGCATGGTGGCAGCTCTTTTCTTCGTCATTGATGCCATCGTGCACAGCGGGCCTTTCACCGACGAGCACTTCTTTGAAAAGTTTGAGCAAAAGTTTCCCAATCCTTTGGCTCTGAGAGGGAACCATTCCCAGTGACCATGGGAGGGAGAGAAGAAGCATGGCTTGAGGGAGCTCCCTGCTGGGACATCATCGCCCAAGGAAACACGGGCATTTCTGTGTAAGACATACTCCGCATCAGTCAGAATGCAAAGGGTGTAGTGGTGGCCTTGAGAGGAGAAAACAAAACATTGGTTTAAATGGTTTGTACAAAAGGATACATAAACGTTCAAATTATTGATATGATATGTCTCTCCTGATGAATTAGGAGAAAGAGCGGTCTGCCCAAGCTGTAATGCAATGCTTAACCAGAGTTTCCTGAATGAAAGTTTTGGGAAAAGATCAGTAGGTGTATTGCAGTCATGAGCATGGGTGGTATGGGGTAGAAGTAGCAGTAGTCATTCAGTAGCATATGGGAAGTGCAGACGTTGACAATGGTGCTGTGTTCCTATTTCTAGGATTAAAAAGCTAGTCCCTAGCCACTTTTGACTTCGGCGTTGTGCTTCAAACTGCATGTGGGAGACTTTGAAAACAGATGGGCAGCACAATCAGATTTCTAGCATCTTCTGTAATCCCTTGCACTTCTTCCCCATGACTAGCAACACCAGAATAAATTTGTGCAAAATAGTAAAAAGTACAGAATAATTTATACAAAGTATGATAAATTATGCAAGTAGCCTTCAGTTGAATAATACATACAGGATGCAGACGTTGTGTTTTCTTGGTGCCCACTTAGAATGTCTGGGTTCCGTTTTCTTCTTGCTGCTGCTTTTTAACTTGGAACATAAACAGATGCACTTTAGCAATGAATGTTTTTTGTAAGGGCTTGAGTATCCTAATATGGGGCAGTTTTTATGGGTAGCCTATTTTCAAGGCTGAGGATACAGAAGCACAGAATTCGTTATCTGCTTTTGCTTTCTACCACCCCTGAAAGTCAGAACTAGGGCTGAGGGGAGGCAGATTAGTTGCCCAGAACTTGGTGCAGAGCCAAGCCAGAATTTGAATATAGGGCACAGGCTGACCCTTGTTCTGCCAGATCACATTGGCTAAATCCATAAGGAATTTGTGTGGGATTTGGTACAGTTTTGGAGTTTAACCTAGTGCTGACAGGCTCACTAATTAGAAATATCCACACATGTGTGGACCAGTCTAGAGTAATGGAAAAGATACTGCTTGAAGATGGGTGAGAACCACACTTACATCTTTGCTTAGCCTAGCTATACAGCTTGTCTGCTTGCTTGCTCACGCACACACCTATACCAATTAATTTATTTGTACAATCAACACACCAAATGTTATAGATCCAATGTTGGGAGGAAGCCTGTGGTTCATCACACTTGTCAGCACTTGTGGCGAGGAAATTTGTGGTCCTCGGTAGATAGTCATCAAATTAGTCTGGGGTTGGTTGCCAGGGATGAGCCAGTTGTTCTCCGAACTCACAATTTGCTTCAAAAGCAGTAATGTCTAGGGGACAGGCCTCCCCCCCCCAAAAAAAAAATAAGCCTCAGAGGCTGTTTTGGGTTCACTTGTTTCCTCCCATTGTCCAGTAATTGCAGCTAATCAGCATTCTGTATTGACCCTGGCTGCTCAGATCATCAGAATTGGCTATGTGTTGATGTCCCTAAAGGCACAGAAAGCTTATTTAGGAGGAGGAGGTCAGTGCTTCCTCTACTGGTCACAGTGCTGCATAAAACATTGAAAAATTGATGAACTGGATAGATCCTTTTGACATTGGAAGGTTCACAGCACCCTTTCCCCCACTTTTCAGCATATCCCTGTTGTCCACAGGAACACATGTATGTTGACAAATTCCCATGACAATACTTGGATGTACGGGTTGTAACAGGATGCCAGATTATCTTCAGGTTACCTGGTTGGATGTGCCCTATTCTTGGATGTGTTCTCTTTAATCTGGGTCTGTCTTTCAGAGTGAAATATGAAGATCCTCTTGCCAGGAAAGGACTAGCTGGAGCCTTGGATGTCAGACAGCAGAACACAGGAGCAGTGAGTAGCTCCCTACTTGTAAAGACCAGACAGGATATATATTGTAGGTTTATGTAGATCAGACGTCCTCAACCTGGTGACCTCCACTCACGTTTGATTACTGCTTCCAGCATCACTACTCAGTATTGCCTTGGGTGGGGGATTATGGGTCTTGCATGCCTGCCATGCTGCCGAGGGGGCACCAGGTTGGGGAAAACTAGTAAGGATCAGCATTTATCTAGTCCATCAGATGTACAGTGGTGCCTCGCTTAGCAATCACTCCGTTGAGGATAAAATCGCTTAGCAATGGACTTTTTGCCAATGAAATCGCTTAGCAATGGCCTTTTTCCATCACAAAAGCAATCGCTTAGCAATGGCAGAAAGTCCATCGCTAAGCAATTTCGATGCTCAATGGAGCGATCGCTAAGCGAGGCACAACTGCTTAGCGATGGTCCCTATGGGGAAAATTTGCTTTGCGATGATCGCGGGGAAGATGGCATCCCGAGAGGAGCCTAGTCTCCCATTTTTCAAAGCAAACTCTTTTTTTAACTAGCCAGAGCCAAGTGCTTCAGTGGAGGGAGCCCCCATCACAAACTGGATGGTGCGTCAAGGAATGGTGAGAATACGTTGTGACTGGGGAAAAAAGGCTACTAGAGCTTCCAGATTGCCAAGCAAGGGTGTGATCCTGGTGGAACAGCGTGTGGGGACTGACAGCAAGCAGTCTAGAAGCCGAGGAACTCCTTCTGATAGTACAAATTCTCATTCCCGAAGGGTCTGCAGCCTGGGGAAATGTTAGTGTGATGAGAGCACTCAAGCTAATTATTAATTTTTAAAATCATATTACTAGAGGGATAGACAAATGTAGGGGCCCTCCAAATGTTCTGGGACAGCAAGACCTGTCCTGAAGGCAGCATAGCCAATGGTGGGAGAAGACTTGCAGTCCAACAACATCTAAAGGGCCACAGTTTGATTACTCCTGGGAAGAAAACAGCCATCTCTGAAGCCAACAGAACATGCTCTTGTTGCATCACCATATACAGATGGCACATGCAGTGTCATGTGATCCCTTGCTGCCCTGTTCTTGCACTATAGACATTTCACAAATACAAGGTAAAGGTAAAAGTACCCCTTGAAAATTTGTCCAGTTGTCTTTGACTCTAGGGGGCAGTGCTCATCTGTATTTCCAAGCCATAGAGTGGTCAATATGACCAGATAGGCGGGGTATAAATGTAATAAATAAATAAATAGAGTCATTGTTTGTCCAAAGACAATCTTCCGTGGTCACATGGCCAGTGCGACTTAAACACGGAATGCTGTTACCTTCCCCCCGAGGTGGGCCCTATTGATCTACTCGCATTTGCATGCTTTCGAACCGCTAGGTTGGCGGGAGCTGGGACAAGCGACGGGCGCTCACTCCGTCACGTGGATTCGATCTTACGACTGCTGGTCTTCTGACCCTGCAGCACAGGCTTCTGCGGTTTAGCCCACAGCGCCACCATGTCCCTTTTACAAATACAAGGAAGATCACTAATTGAAGTAAGAAAGAATCAACAGGTGGCTGCCTCTTAGCCTTTCTTATCACAGGAAAGGGTTTGCTTTCATATATGGAATACCAGCTTTCCATATCCTTACTCGATACCAAGTTTCTTCCATGTCTGCCACCTGACTGACCCCCAAAGACTCCCTGCAGCTGTTGGTAAATGCCACCTCAGGTCAGATGCCTTCTAGAAACTTGATCAGCCTCAAGCTGCCTGTAATTTTAATTAAGGGGGTCCAGAAGGAAGAAACACAATTCAAAGTATCAGAGGAATGTAGCCAAAAGATAAGGCCCTACTCTTCAAACTGAGATAATATCCAAGGTATCCCACACACACTGTTCCATTAAGCTTGTTTAGGTCTCATTCTGCTCTGGTCCAGAAAATTGTTCCAAGGGTAAGAGGAATCTTTGCTGTATGTTCCTTAATTTTGCCTCTTTTTTCCCAAGGAAATTTTCCTTTGCACCCTGGCCTCTGTAGATTTATACTAGCTTCTGCTTGCTTTAGAAAAAGGTGCTGGGTGGTGGGCCAGGACATACTTCTGCCTTGTTTTTGAAAACACTTTCCCCCCTTTTATGTATCTTTCCCATGACTTGGCTTGGCACTGAGATTAATTTTGGAAGGAATCATTGTAGGAAATGGATTTTGTTTTCCTTAAGTCTCCTTGTTCATTTCCTGGAAAGCCAATGTAATTCCTGAGAATCCAGTAGAGCATGAATCTGTTTTGGATGGAGACCAAATATCTTAGCCGTTAACACAGATGTTGATCTAAAACAGCAGGGTGTGTATGGATGGCTTTGTATTTCCATTATTATATCCGTATAATAAACTAGCATCCTGCAGCCAGCACCAGCCACAGCAGAACTTTTCTTTGCTTTTGGAATGTCGTTCGAGGTTTACAAGTTCTCTTTCATTTTTACAAAGTCAGAAGTTTCCCGCTTGCTTCTGGGAGAAGATTTGCATAACACTGTTGTTTTCTAAAATGATGAGAAATGCAGAAGTTATTTATGCTTTGGACTGTTCTTCCTCCTCCTCCTCCTCATTTTTATATCAATATTATGATTTACTGTCTTGATACGGGATTCCAAAAAAATTTATAATGCTACATAAAAATGCCTCTCTTACAACACTCCTGTTATTGCTAAAAATCATGAAAAACCTTTTTCCTCCCGCGCAATTTTAATAAAAGCAAAACAAAAATCAGCAGAGTACTTCTAGCTCATGCTACATACCCAATCAAAATTATGAAGATGCACAACATTGTCCTCTTTGGAGGGTCAACTCAGATGCTGCTGGTTAACTGATACGGATCATAAGACCCTGTCTATATGATTGCAGAAACATGTATATGGGTATCATTCAAGGTCAACCTTTGAGAAATCAGGCCCAAGCAATGTGAGAAGTGAAACTGACAACCACTGACCCATTCATTCTCAGTGGCATCACTTAAAAGATGATTTGTCTTAGAATTTGGTGGTAAGAACTCTGCTGATTTAAAGCATGCCTTGGAGGTAGCTCTCAATTGAATGGATGATCAAGAGGAAAAGGAGTGTTTTGGCACGAAGGGATTTAATTTGAGCTTTCCCTGTCGTTTGTTACCTTGTTTCTTCTACCTCTTTCCTTTGTCAGATTCCTGTCCCTCAAGCTAACCTCATGGAGGATATTGAGCAGTGGCTGTCCACCGATGTGGTAAGTGACCAAACCAAAGCCCTCGCTTGTTAGCAAGTTTTGACTATGAACATTCTGCCATGCAGCTTGAAGGAGGACCTCACAGTTGAACAGGAGAGTACATGCTTTTACATGCAAAAGTCCCAGATTCTTTTCCTGCTTCTGTGTAGATTTCTTTTCCGAAACCCAAGGAGCTTCTGCCAGTCAGCATGGACCAGTAGTTTCCAACCTCATGTCTATTCCTTTTGTTAGACTACAAATCCTGGTACTGTATCTCTCCCCCGGCTAGGCGGGTATGAAGGTCAGGGCCATCAGGGAACTCGAAGATGAGAACCCCTAGGAGTAGACCATATTGAGTGGCCTGGCTCAGTATAAGACCCTTTCCTGCACTCTTAATTCTCAGTTTCTTAATTCCTGTTTGCACTACTTCTCATGCTCTTATGAGCAAGCTGCTGCTGCAGTATAACTAAGAGACAACTTGCCCACTCAAGTTTCCTGAGATGGGGCATTTTATGTTTCTTTCTCCAGGTGGAATAACATGATCACTAACCTCACACAGAGACTGAGCCTTCTCTGATGCAAATTGTGTGTGGCCCCATAGCACTTTTTTTGATTTTGCTAGCTCCAGGGCTATAATGAATCCCTCAAAGCCAGACTAATGTTGAAATGTAAAATATTTACATCCAATCCTGGAGTCCTCAAAAGATAAACAGTGTCACCTTAAAATAAAGCATACCCCCACGCACACACACTGGATATCGATATTCCATCTGTTTGCCCCTTGAAATGCTACCAGTTTCCACTTGCATGGGAGGCTCAAGCCAGTCTCGTACAGTGGTGCCCCACTGGACGATTACCCCGCTTGATGGTGAATCTGCTTAACGCTGAAGTTTTTGCGATCGCAAAACGATGTTTAGATGGGGGAATTTCGCTTAACGTTGATCGGTTCCCTGTTTCAGGGACCGATTTTTTGCTTTACCACGATCAGCAAGCAGCTGGTTGTCAGGTTTCAAAATGGCTGCCAGTTGTAAAAAATGGCTCCCTGCTGTGTTAGGGACAGATTCCTCGCATTACAGGCACCAAAAAATTGCTGCAGGTATTTCGCCCATTGGAACGCATTGAACGATTTTCAATGCATTTCAATGGGGTTTTTTTTTTTTCGCTTGACGACGTTTTCGCTCTACAGCAATTTCACTGGAACTAATTAACATCGTCAAGCAAGGCACCACTGTACTAGGTTTCTTTCTGCATCAGAATGAAAATTTCTGTCCACAGAATTCAGCCCTTTGAGTTTCCATTTGATCTACCAGGATTTCCACACTGCCTTTTGTTTTCTCTCCTCAGGGAAATGAAACAGTGGATCCAAAGGGTGTCACCAGTGAAGGCAAGTGACTGCCAAACCCTCCTTCCTGCCTACTTCACCTACTGGCATGGGATGGTCTCCACCTACCATGTCCATCTTTACTGGTGTATAAAACATACTACAGCAGGACTTCTGTATCTGTGTGGGATCAGTTCCAGGCTCCTCCCCCCCCCGCGTGAATTAAAAAAATGTGGGTTATACCCAATGCTATTTCTCTAGCGAATGCTATACATAGCATGGTCTCAGGCTCCCTCTAGTGACTAGTTCTGGCAACATCATCTTTTAAAATATATATTTTTAGGATTTTTAAAAATATTTTCAGACTGTAAATCAGCAGATACGGATCCCGCAGATAAGGGGTTCCTTCTGTATTTGAAGATGCACACAAATAGTGTGCATATTTTTCAGCTTTCCGTTATTTAATTGCTACATTGGAAGTCTTTTGGGATGCATCACTGCCCTGTGCAGATGCGGAAATGTCACAGATGAAGGAATTGTGCACAAAATTGACTCCACAGCCAGTTGCACAAACTATAAATGTTAGAATTATCTGCAGTGCGTTTTGTTCATGTGGCCCCTCCAACATAAGGAGCAACCCTCTGGAATTTCCAGCTCTGGTTCGATTCCTTCTGCTTCTAAAATTCTCTCCCATGTTCTCTGTTGCCAGAATTTGACAAGTTCCTGGAAGAACGCGCCAAGGTGGCAGATCAGCTGCCCAACCTTCCCAGCCCCCCCACCGGAGCGCCTTCCCTTTCTGCCAGCTCTGCCCCTGCCCGGAAGAAGGACAAAGAAGATGATGCCATGTTTGCTTTATGAGCCCTGCTACAGATCGGTGTGCCGTGATGGCAAGAGGACCTGTGTGCTGCACTGCACTCCCCTTTCTGGGTGGGGGACAGGGAGCAGTTGGGGAGTGAATAGAGCAAGAGACTCTCTTTCCTCTCCCTCTTCCTCCTTTTCTAGGCTGCTTTGAAGTTAGATTAATTATTGCTCCATTTGGGCGAGAAGCAAGTGGTGGGAAAATGTTCATAAAGCTGCCAAATGTGTTGCCCGATGAGTTGACAGAGTTGGGGTTTCACCTCTGTGGATTAAAGCCGACTGAAATGTGTTTTCCTGTTCCGTTTTAGCTTTCCATTGAAGAGCTGTAAAACCCATGCTGGAAATTGGTATAGTGGGATATGTAGTTTCTTGCCTGTCTTACAAGAAGCTGTCCTGAATTATGAAAGCTGAGCAGCTCCCTTTTAACTTCACCTACATTTTTCCGTACTTTGCCTGATCTTGGCAGCCCAGCAATGGGTGGGCACCCTTTGCTGTGACAAGACAGGAGGCAAGGCTGTAACATCAACAGGATCTCTCGTAATCCCTCCTTGTTGGGCAGGCCCTTCTTGTATGAAGCTTGATGCTTAAAGAATCCTGCCTATCGACCAGATGAGTTGTATGCGTAGACTCCAGGTACCAGTATCCTGGAACATAAGGGAAAGGGTGTGCCTGCATGTTATCAGCGGCCCAAGAACCCTCCAAGAATGGCCACTTTCTGTCTTCAGCCCTGGAGCTTTCCAGGAGGGAGACTCTCTCTTTTGGAATTTAAAAACAAATCATGGTGACTTACTGATCATGGCTTTTCTTTTCATAGCCTTTTCCTTTAGCGCTCCTTCCCACAACATCTCTTCCTTTGCCATGGAGGCCAAAGTCTTTGGCGCCAGGAGAGAACACTCTTGAGAAGTGGCATTCAAGTGTGTTCAAAGGTGGTGGGCCAGGAGCAAGGTGGGGGCGAGATGCTGAATTATTCCATATATTTGGGAGATGTCTTTTATATTCCATATTAAACATAATATCTTCATCTTCAAGAAAGAGTCTGTGCTTTCTTTGATGTTTGGAGCTTCCGCACTGAAATGAAGGACAGTGGGATCAAGGGGGAAGAGCAGGATCCAACTGGACTGCTGGTGGGTTGGGGTGTTCTGGAAGAGGAGCAAAGCCAGAGGAGGACTTTCTGTCTGAACTGATGCCAAGAAAGAGGGAGGATGAATTCTTTGGCTCAGATCAGGCACAATTTGTATTTAATCAGCCATGGCTTTCCTGACACTATCCTAGCAGTGGAGAATCCCCTGCCCCGATTCTATTGAACTGGAGCTCAAAGTGTTCCTTTCCATTTGGGCATGCCAACTAAGGCTGATGGGAGTGGTGGCAGCCTCACAGTGCTTGAGGGGCTGCACGGCCTTCATCCTGGAGTAAGCCCATCAATTCCAAGCTGTATAGCAAGGAAAGATATTTTTTTTCCTCTTTATTATCTCACAGTATGAATAAACTCTACAATCTCAGAAGATTGCATAAATATATAATTATTCAGATTCCAACATCCAAGTTAGGAAACAGATTGAATTCTCCTTCCCCCTGCCCCCCTTCTTACTGGTCCAGGTACGAGAAGCACAATTTTGCTTCTGCATTTTGAAATATGAGCCTAGGACCCTGTTTGTGCATTGAATGTTTTGTTTACTGTGCCAAGTGTTTTTAAAGGATCTTTACATGCTAAAGCATACAACCTTAAGAAGATTGGTCATAAGAGTGTTCAGAACAAGGATTTTGATAGATGCTCTCCCTTCTCCTTACTGGAATCCCTGCTGCACAGAAGGGGCTGCAGTAGTACTGCAGCAATGTTAAAAAAAATGGATCTTGAATCACACTTCCGTGGGTCTTTTCCTCATACCGCTCCAGTAGCACATGTAAAAGTATCAAAACTGTGCCACTAATTCTACCTGGTAGTACTACAGTACAGGCACAAATAGTTCTGCACATTCTGTGAAGCATTGGCCACATTCCATACCTCTCATGCTTGGTGGACAACTTCACAGACCCTAGGCTCCAAGATCTGAGAAGGATGTGTAAGGATCTGAGAAGAATAAGCCATCAAGGGCAATGCAAAGGAATTGTTAGTGCCAAGTCTGGAGGTGACGTGAGATAGTGCCATCAAAAAGGATGTGGGCATGGTGTAGAACCTGCTCTATGGTCTACACTGTAGACCATAGAGCAGTGGTCCTCAGCATTTGGTCTTCAGGAAGTTTGGATTTCTGCTCCCAGATGCTCCGGCAAGCGGAACTAATGATCAGGTGTCTTGTGTTTGTTTGTGTGTTTATAGATACGGATAGGAGCCTAAATCATTTGCTATGACAGACAGGTTTACTCAATGGGATTTGCATGTGTTGCCTTTCCCTACAGACAGTGGGTCAGCTGAGTATAGTAGACAGTTTCTGGTGCCAGGGAGAAAGTTTAATAACAGCTGGACACATTGCAAGCCCAAGATGTGCCCTTGACACTCCCAACTGCTGAGACATTATAGGACACCAACGGCAATCCCCATGTGGTATATGTAAATTCCCTTACAGCCACTCCCTCAGGCATATCTAACTGTAGCGCAAAGACAAATATTTGTGCTTCTATTGAGATCGCCTTTTTGTTTTCTAGAATAGTCTTTTCCTTCTTTCCCTCAGTTTACTAAACTTTCTGAAATGTTATCACATTATTAAGACTCAGTGTATTTGTGGAAGGATGATTCTTGCACGGGCTTTGAAGGGATAGGTTACACATTTAGCCCCTTTGTAGCCTCCCTAGGTCATAGCCTACTGTATTTCCCCCAATTCTGGAGGCGTAAAAACAACAACAACAACAACAACAACAACAACCAAAGACCAAGAAATGCACAAATCCACAGATGGGAGTGGTCCAAGTCTCTCCTGAAGAGCATGGGGCAGGTCCATCTCAATCTGTATGCTGTTTTTATTTGGGTCCAGAGAGAGTAAGGCAGCAAAGAAAACTAAAAAGAAAGACTAGAAGTCAGTGGAATTGGAGAGTGGGCGAGAAAAGGGTCCATGATATGGCTGAGGTATTAGATGCAGGCACAATCTTGGTGCTGTCTGCCCAATTTCCTTTGTTAGAAGAGCTATATTACAAGGAGGAATTGTTCAGCTCTGAAAGATGCAGGCTAATTAAAAAGTAAACACTGACAAAAGTCAATTAAAATGGAGGTGGATAGGTGGGAGGGAGGTATGCCACTGATCACAAGGGAGACCAGGGGTATTTATGCTTCGCCAGCAGTAGCCTCTGAAACTCAAACACCCCTATTCCAGAGAGCTGTTGGAAAAACAACTGATCCAAATAGCTAGAAGTGAAGCCACAGTTCCCAGCCCTAGAGTACCTCTGCATAAGTGGGGGGGGGGATACAATGTCAGTATCTTTGATGGAAATACAAAGCAGAAGTTCTGGGCTGAAAGGTAGGGGCTGGGTGCAAATAACACCACAGGTCAAGTGCCGGCAATCTGTAGGGGGCAAATGGTGGTTTGCCAAATGCAACCCCACTCCAGCCTCCATCACACTGCCATGCTTAATTGTAAAGTTACTTTTCCAAGCTCTGCTCAGGATTGCTATTTTCCTGCTGTCATCTACAGACAGAAGAACTAGAACGTCTCTGCTAAGCGGTAGGTGTTGTGAGTGGAAAAGTCACTTCTATCTTTACTGCATGATATTACTTGTTAAAATGTAGTTTATTAGAAAAATGAGTTACTCCCAAGATCTGCTGTTTTGTAGCGCTGAAAGGAAAGCTCTCTGGCATCCCCACTGAATATTCCACCTTCTCTTACCTGGGGTGAAGACAGTGCAGCCGGATGTTATTGAATGACAGCTCCCAGCATTCCTTGCCACTGGCAATCCCAGCTGGAGCTGGTAGGAGTTGCTGCCCCAAAATATCCGGAGCACCACAGTTTCCCCATCCCTGACTCACACTTTTCCTACAAAGAAAGCACTTCCAGTAACCTTGCGTACTGAGTGTTAGCTAACACCGTCTTGCGTATGTATGTCACTTGCACATATAAAGCTTTGCCTGTGCAAGAGGCTACTGGCCAGTCGCAACTTTGCAACTGTACAGTGTACCGGCTTCAGAAAGCAGAAGTTGAGCCCCAAATGCCCTCTTCTTAGAGAAAAACTCTTGCTGGCTCACAGCCTTGAGAATAACATGTTTTGCAACAGTGGTTGCATCAGTACATGGGCAAGATGTCCTTCTGTGTATTTTAGCCTCTTGCTATCACTTTAATAAACAAGGTTTTTTACCTTTTTGGTACTAGTGATAAAACAACTGACAAGAATTATGGTTCATTTAAAATGTACATTGTTTTAATTTAACTCAATATTGCATTGCTGGTCTTAAAACACACTAAAGATGGGGTCATAGTAAGTCGCAGCTAGAATAGGATGAAGACAGTGGTGCCCCACATGACGACAATAATCTGTTCCAGCAAAATCGCTGTACAGCAAAATTGTCGTCATGCAAAAAAAAACCCTTTGGAAGGCACTGAAAACCGGTCAATGCATTCCAATGGGGAAAATATTTGATCGTCCTGTGAAGATCCTCCATAGGGCAGCCATTTTCCGATCCCTGTCTTGCGAAAATAGGTCAGCAAAACAGTGGGGAGCCATTTTGCGAACCGCCGATCAGCTGTTTGTAATCGTCGTGAAGCAAAAAATCAGTTCCCAAAGCAGGGACAGTATGAACGTAAAGCGAAAAAAACCCATAGAAACATCGTCAAGTGATTTCGTCGTTTAACGGGTCATCGTAATGTGGGGCACCACTGTACAGTAGATGGAACTCAGAGAGATGTTAACTCCCCAAATCTCCATTGTCTCAATGGGCCTACTATGACACAATATACTATGTTAAGCAACAGGGTTTTGGCTACTTGTTCATCAGTCCAGTCTAATTGATCTGTATCAATTAGGAAAGAAGTCTTGTGCTTAATGGACTCAGTCCTAAGTGTAAGGGTTTTTTTGGGGGGGGGTAAAAATCTTTCAGGAATCAAAAAGTAGAGCTCACTTCTTGTGTTTCTTGAGACAGAAGTCAAGGGCCATGAAGCGTTCATTAATATCCCCATATTTTGAGTGGGGGTGGGGGTGGATTGATTTGTGACTTGAATTCTCTTGGTTTTTGGAGTACAGTTGTTTTTTCTTTGTTTGTTGCTTTACACTGAGCTGCCAAACAAAACAGTGGCTTGAAGATACAGAATTTCTGCAAGGAAAGGGGGGGGGGAAATAACACCCCTGTTGACTGTTGAGCAATGTTTAAAG